GTCCCCTAATCCCCATAAATCCTTATTCCTATGGGAATTGGGTTCTCTATTCTAGTTCTGAGACAATTTAGCACATTGGCACACAAAATTTTGTGGCATTCAATTTAAAACTATGCAAAGGTTTACACTAATTCTAACCTATTATTTCCTAGCATAATTTAGGATACAATATATCTACTTGAACATCAATCTGAAATGGGAGGAAATGGAATGTAAATCTACAGGTCGCTAGTTCAAATCCGGCACGAAGATCCATACGCGGAGTCTACAGTAATCCTACTTGATAAACAAGTAAACATGCCTTGTAATTGACGAAATATATTTTAGTGCTAGAGGAAAGAAATCTCTCTGTATGGTTTCCAACTAGGCACATTATAAGTACAATTTGCAAATTTTGTATCGCTGGATTACGAGTAGAAAGGAGACGGCATTGCCATTATACAAAAATAAAGAAAATATTGCATAAGCATTAAAAAATCACTTTGAAAACAATACAAAACTATTATAATATCATTTAGTAGTTATCTGTATGTACTTATTTACTTTACCTAATTTCTTTATTCCACATATTCATTTTATCATTCTACCGGGTACATATCTATTTTGTTTAATAAAAAATACGTTGATATAGTGTGTTGTAATAATAAAAAAAAACTATTTATGTCACAAATATATTAGCTACTACTTTTGCATTAGGTATGAGTGTTTTCTATACTTTTAAAAATTTTTAAACATATTTTAAAAAAATATATGTTTAAAATTCGATAGTTAAATTTCGAATTTCAGAATAAATAATTATTATTTCACATACCAATGAATCTTCTATCGTATACAGTAGGTGTTCATTTATCATTCTCAAAACAACTTCCAACCTGATTATCAAAAAGTTCTCCTTTACAATGGAAATTAATTCCACACATCATATCAAATGGCGTAACTGTATTGTATTACGTGTAAACGAGAAGTCATTGCACCTCGAATGGCTGACATTCGAAGAGTTTCGAATTGTACGTGTTTTATATTAATGTAGCTTATATAAATTCCCATATACTTTACAGTTTCTTAACATTAGAGATAATGAATAAATAATGTGACGTAGGTGTGGGGAAGGATCCCTACTGGGGGATCTGATCAGTATATCTGAAACTTCGTAATTTCTTTGACAAAGATCAATGCACACTACTTACAACAAAACAGGGTAGGTATTCAGTTTTGTTTTTATAAATAATTAAGATTAAAAAAAACGCTAAATAGACATCAACAGGTTCACACGGACGTTAAAAAAGTCACAAGTAGATTTCTGGCCATAATAACATCTGACTTCAATTGTGACAAAATTTGTATCGCATTCTTTTATAATACTTAGTATGGCAAAATAGCTAACGGCCCATCTGATGAAAAGTGATGACCGTTGCCTAAAGACATGAACAGCACTATAGATGTCACAAAATACATTACTAAGTGCCCTAAGCGCCACTCTCGCCTTGCCATTCCTGTTGACTAAGATATTATGCCTATAGCTTCACTGCCATATTACTTTAAATTGAAATACAGCCATGCAAGCACACCTGCCTCACAGATCTATTGGTTGAACTCATTTTTATGAAATTAAAAAAATCCATACTATAACAATTTCAGATTTTTATCATATTACAAACTTTTTATGTCCAAAATTTTGACATGGTAGAAAATCGAGATAACACACGTTTTTACTACTACTTATCTAAAATCTTTAGGTACTATTTATCTAAAATCGCTTTGTGTCACCCCGAAAATAAATTTAATTTTGGAAAAAAAAAATATTATATAAAAATCAGCATTTTTCTAATACTATTTTTTCTGCTAATAACTTTTAATATTTTTTTTTTCATAGCCACTTACGCTCTTCCATTTTTCCTTACAATACCTTTTAATGAAGTAACGAAATAATTATAAAAATGTGTTAGTGAAATAAAATTACTTACTCACTTTTTCTTTTAATTTCATTATTATTTTTTTCTATCAACTTTTCTTCGGAATTATTTAAGGGTATCGGTATTCAGCGATGCGAAAATAGTTATAATTGAAAACAAGGAAAAACGCTCATAGCTACTTAGGTATCGTCGGTCGGTGTCGATCATCGACGTTGAGTGCGGTCGTTCCTTGACTGAACGAATGTATACTGAGTGGAATTCTAAGTTAACACTAAGCTATTAGTTTTGGTTTCCGTTGTTAAATAATTATTGAATAAATCCCCCAAATTGGTAATGGATTAGCTGGAAACCGCAGTTTCGCCCAATATACTAATAAAAAAGTACCTTACATACTAATATAAAGTACCCTATCTACTCATACAAAATACCCTATCTACTAATACAAAGTACCCTATGTACTCATACAAAAGCGCAGCGCAGTATCTGCTCATGAAAAGTATCCTGTGTGATACAGAATACGTTATGTTCAACTGTATATCAAATTTCATTCAAATACGTTCAGCCATTTCAACATGACTTAGATCCGACTATCTATAAAATTTCAAATTTTGTAGTAGTACTAGCTATTTTCTGCGACTTTATCCACTTTAATGACTTTAAAACATGTCCTTTATTATAATTTTATTCCAGAATGTTACCCATATTGGTATGTTTGTTAATAATACAATAATAGATAAATGGATTTGAAAAAAATAGTACACAGATAGATCATATTCCGTGTTACAGTTTAGGTTTTATACGAATTTACGCAGCAAAACCTAAATTATAACACGAAATATGTCACATAACACAAGTCTGTCGCGTTCCAACGATAATTTCATTTTGATCATACAGACGAAGCAGTTATAAAGCTTACAAAGTCATATAAAAGCTACACTGCAACCTTTAAATGTCTAATGGTTCCACTATTTAAAACTGAAAATCCATAATCTATAATAAACTTGAAATTTTTAACGTCATCATATTGTTTTGATCTGTCATAACTGAAACCGAAGGCAATGGGAAAATTTAATTAAAAAGCCGGATATTCCAATTTTCTCAATGGTATAATGAAACTCGAAAGGCTTCATTGTTAATATCGGATGTTTGGATTGTAATTATACTTGGTATACTACGAATTTTGGAGGGTCTTTTATTTTAATATTCTGTTCATATTTTTTCCACTGTTTTTTGTATATTGTATTAACTGTCCACTGCTAAACATATCCACCCCCATAAGGGACCCCCCTTTGTCACGCTTGACAAGCGGGTTGTCAACCGCAGGTTGGCTTTTGGTAATGTTTTAAAAGGGACGCTGTTGCCAATCCCTCGACTATTAAGTTCCCTTAGTTACCACTTACAACATCCAAGGAAAAAAAAGGGGTGGCCTAGTCTATATCGAAACCTACACGGCTACTGTTTTTTGTATGTACAAGTACATACTGTTTTGTTAACATACCAAAGATACACAGTTTTTATCGTTTACATTTCGCTGAATAATAACTATAATATGTAGCTTTCCTCACATGTAACTTCGAGGCTACCCAACTAGTTTCAATCTCAATAGGTGCCCTCATTGATAAGCATGGTTCATGGCCGTCACGAACAGCCACTGCGCGACCAGCGAACATTTTGTCGCTGCTTGTTTGTTTATATTTTATTGATACAAATATTAATGAAATATTTGAAAAATCAAAAGAGTAACGATATTATGTTGCATTTACAAACTTTCATAAAACGACTACCAATTTTAAAAAATCAATAAACCTAATAATTTTCTTTATACAGCAAACCTCGTTAATTATCCTGTGTCCTGTGTAAACGGATACACATCCTATCCCACTTTTGAAATTTAAACATGTTTGTTCATGTTTAGTCTCGCCCACTGTATTATTTCATAAAATCTAATTTAACGTTCCTAAAAGTGGGATATTTTGGAATTTCATGGACTTATTTATATATAAGAAAAATAACAGTTGATTTTTTAATTGTAAATACCTAACCCATTTCGAGGTGTAAGACATTTTAGAATGTTATTTTGATAATTTAATTAAAAATGACCGGAAATTTATCAAGTAGATCAATGTATATCAATTTCCTTAAAAAAATACTAAAATATTAGGTAGTTTTTAAAAAGTTTGATTATTATTGCCGTTATTTTTTGTATATATATTACGTGATATCTTTGTCAATTCGGAACAGATTTTAATAATGGTTTTTGCAGTCGGCAAGGATTATCCTTTTGTATAATGGTATATTAAAATTTATATCTCATGACTGGCTGTGTAGTTCTGGCAAAGAATAAACCACCCTACTTCCCTTTCTGTGGATGTCGTAAGAGGCGACTAAGGGAACATAATGGTAGAGGTATGAACAGCAGCGTCCGTTTTAAAACATCTCTAAAAGCCTAACTACGTTTACCAACCCGCCTGCCAAACGTGGCAAATACTAGTAAAAGTCCCCTTATGGAGAAGGCTTATGTTCAGCCGTGGACAATTAAGGGCTGAAAATAAAATGATGATGTCACGAACGCTGTAACATGATTGAAGTCGCTGTTTTATTTTTCGGAACAAAATCTATAAATATACTTTTAGTAAGCGTAGGTAGGACTTACACGAACACTGTATTTCATCAAACATTGGCTAATTGGGTTTTGTTATTAATGACCTAAACTTATTTTTTTTTGTGCAACTTAGAACGGCATACAAACTGACGGCCTACCTGATGGAAAGTGATAACTGTCGCCTATAGACATGAGCAGTACCATGGACATAACAGAGAATACTGTTTCACCCATGATACTCCCATGCGTTGTCATTTCTGAAGACTAAGGTATTATTACTCTGTACCCTGTAAATTCACTGCCATATCCCACCCTTTCAATTGAAACACAGCCATGCAAACACAACAGCTTTATGGTAGAAACACGAATAAGACAAAGGTACCCAAGCTAATGACTTTTATACAAAGCCTTCCTTTATAAATTTTAATTAATACGTGAATTTGTTTTAACAACTTACATAATAATTAAATATTTTTGTTTAACAGGATCTTAGTCCGAGCTATCAGCTACACTGTGCACGGCCTGATCCCAGCTTCGTGTGTATTCGCCGACCGATACAATCGTGAGGAGGTGGTTAGATCCCTGGGCAAGGAGGTGAACATCAACCCTCCTTTAATGTTAGGCCAGCTGCCTGACACGCCCGAAGAACTGCTAAAACTTGACCAGGTGAGTCATAAAATATTTATTCATTCATATCAGCTATTAACTCCCCACTAGTGAACCTAAGCTACCCCCATAGACTGCCTTTGCCATTATGGGAATTTGTCAGTAGTTGTTCTAATATTAAGTAATAAAGTTAGTTCTAATATTCTCGGCGAAATGTGGACATTAACATACCCACCATATCGGCAACAGTCAACAAATGACTCGTTAGGGCTTATAGTTTAATTTTAATTCATTTTGGGCAATTTTCTGACCTGCTAGCATTTATTTTTCCATTTTACTGAAGAACAACAAAGTAAAACAAATTGTTACTATATACGTATATTTATTTCCTCTTATTATCTCTATATCATATTTGGTGATGGTATAAAAATGTTTGAAGACATCTATTGTCATTTAATTACAATATTATCTCATTTTAAATCCATATTGTATACAAAAATAGTCGTATTTACGGTTGATGACCTCATTAATATTTAGCATTCAGCTTAAAATATAAGATCGCAAGTAAATTAGCTGTAAAAACTTTTGCTCTTTACAGCGATTGTTTTTTGAGTTCCCAATTAGGAATATACGACACGCCGCTTACATTCTTGAAACATTAATGAGCTCAGTTAGTCGCGTCGCGAGGTAGTCTCCTTCTCTCCCCTCACTGAGAGATAGGGTTGCCAAATGTAGGTATATTATACAGAGTGAAATCCGAAAGCATTAACGATACGTTGAACTGAGAAGTTCCACATGCTGTAGAATATATTAGGACAGATTTTTTAAAAACAAAAATTTGACAAAAAAATTTAGCGACTCATATTCTAACAGAACAGTTGAACGCGGCATATTAGAATGAATGGTTTAAATTTTTGTCGTTTTTTAACTCATATCTCCTTTGGCAAAATATTTCATTTCGCTAGTAGAATACTCCTTTCAGAGGATGCAAACGATTTCGACTTCACCTGTATAATATCTTACAAAATTTAGGACCTAAATACTTCTAGCCAAATCTACTTTTTTTGTGCAAACATCGGTATTATGAACTAACTTCTTTTTATCGTTCATGTCATGAGGTAAATGAAACAATGGCTTACACATTGAGTGAATAAATTCTAAATTCATGTTCAACTCTCGAAACACACACTACGAATGTTTTATAATTAAAAAACTTATAAAAACGGCCATTGTATCAAATAAGTGAAAAATATTTAAAACAAGAGTACCTACTATATTTTTAGAATCCATTGTTTACTTTTTAAATGAAAATGTGTATTCTTTTAAATATTGTTTTGGCAACCCTATTGTTGGGTGGCTGTACCTCTCCTTGTCTCTCATAGCCCCTCTAATCACGGTAATGGACTAATGACAAGTTAGATACTGAACTACTCCCACACAAAACTTCGTTCTTCACAAAATCACAAAGTAATGAGAATGAATTATAACATTAGTTAATGGACACCGAGTTGGTAGCATGATATTATTAACTTTTACCTCATCTTCCACTTTGGATGGATAACTTGAGAAACAACATACGAAAATTTTACTTGAGGTAACAAACTACAGATAATCTACTACATTTCCAGTGTATAACATTGTATTACATACTAAATCATATACACAACTTTCATCTCCGTAAAATTGTTAAAGATGCCACTTACTTTTTTTTAAATCGAAGTAATTATTTTGATCAATAGCAATTTTGAAGCTTTAAAGATTAACTTTAAAGTGCATTTTAGAAAATGGTTTTTTTTTAGTATTATTTAAAACTATTTTTTAATTTACATAAAAAATTGCAACTATTCTGTTTTGATAATCAATAAACCTACCTTAACCTAGTGGAAAATTAATGTACACTTCAACGTGTAATTTTTAAACCAACTCAAAATATATTTAGTAACCGAGTCTAACAGACAAAGTGTATCTACATTACTAAATTAACCCAAACATGAAGTTTAGTGCCAGCAAAACGTTGAAAACTACTACTAACTTCAACGTGGTTTGTAAAGTATGTTTTCACTACAGTTTCTAAAGATCAAACTAGGATTGATGGTATCTGGTTCGTACCAGAGTGTAATGTTATGAAATTTTTGATTAATTTTCAAAAACGGCTGCAAATTACCCAAAAATATTACTAAATTGATTATTTAAAATCTAATTCGTTACTGAAATAAAATTTTACTCAAAGAATAAGCTAATTTGCACATAAATATTTTGTATTCTTCTTCTTATTTTCTTCTTCGTATTTTTCTTTTAAATTTTTGAAATAACTTTTTGTTGTGATTGCTATATACGAATCTTATTACAGTAACATTAAATATTATTAATTTAGATTAACATTAGTTGCATTGCATGAACATTGTTAAGAGTGTTCATTAGTTCGCCAAAGTATGGCAATGTTGCAATTATCTGTCAATTTACAAAAATGATTGGAAATTTTTCAATGTTTCTGATTATATACGTATTTAAAAAGTGCTCTGCTAACAAACATTAATCATAGAATACATTGCATATAAAACTACCACTAAAAACTTTGCATCTACTTCACATTTTGCTTCGAAAATTTTAAATCACTATATATTTTTTGTTATCAAAATCAAAGTTTTCAGTGACAACCTAATAAGAATATTATTTCATATATTGCATTAAAGAAGCACCTTCTTTTCTTTTATAGAGACCAATCCTGATCAATAACGAGAAGTTTCGTACCTTACACTGAAAATATTTGAATTTAGAATAAAATTCGCGTGTCTACCACTAGATTTTGCTCAACACAAAATGTTTGCTCTACAAATAATATCGACAGCTTCAAAGGTCTCAAAAACAACATGGACGTTAGGATTAGTTGTGAAAAAAATTGTGTAAATAAGTTTAGATTTATCATCATTGGTGCATCATTATAGTGGCAAAAACTCACACACAACCATAAACTGAGAACCTCCTTTAGTAAGTCTCTTAGAAAAACAAAAAAATTGAGAGCTATAGATAATAACAATTGTAAAAAAGACAATTAGTATAAATTAATCCATGTGAAAAATTTATAATTCAATTTTCTAGCAGTAACTCAAAGCGAGTATAAATAAAACAATTGTTAGTGCAAAATTTGAAATCTCAATACCGCTAATAGTTCACTGAATCGCACTTTAGCTGGGGCTTAAAAATGAATTTTTAATGTGCTCACTAAAACGTTCCCGACATACGTTTCACTCTTCCAGGCAAGTTCGTTCGATCCAGTGCGCTGTCAATTATCATTAGCCACGGGCATATAGAAGCGCGATATTAAGTCAGGCCGTAACAGTTCCACCCTTTCCATTTGGGATTTACTGAAATGTCGGTTTATATGAATACAGAGGGTTTGCATCTGAAAATACCTTGGCTATAGACTAAAATTGTTTTCAAGATAAGTTAAAAAAAAAAGAAATTGTTATGAAGTACGTCTCATCTCTATGTATTTCGTTTTTAGGGTTCAGTAACTGTGAGCCATTAGCGGAACCCTTATACGTTGATACTGGTGATTGGCGCTTGATGGAATTGGGCAGTTATCCTTTATAAGTGCTTCGGAGGGCACGTAAAGCCTTCGTCCAATGAGCCACCTCAATGGGCTTCGTGTGTAACGCATGTTATTGTATGATCTAAAAACTTTTGACACCAAAATATATTAGTCTCAAACTTTTTTTCGACGTTGTTTTCAAAAAAATAATAAATTTCACTGAGAGTGAGTCATTTTTCTACAAGTATATTTTGTTTTACAATCAAAAGTCTCAAAATTAATATAGATTTACTTTAGTCTTATAAACTGCAAAAATAAATTGAAAATAAAATTTAAATGAGGACCTTCTTTTTTGAAAAACTGTTAAATATGTAATTCGTGCTGATCAGTTTGATTACATTTTAAGAATCTACTTTTATACTGACTGAGAGAGTTCTGTAAAATACATTCGATACACTTAACTTTATAACAAATGAAGTGTAAAGAAAATCATATTAGACAGTTAGAGGAAACGCTAAGAAATAAACTGTATATTTCATTCAATCCATTTCGCTCCAAAGAACTCGTGCACAGACACTTTTCCAGATTGAAAACCAAATATAACATTTTCCGGCGCTTACTCGCAATAACATCATATGACAAGCAACATGCACAATCGTAATATGGTGTGACGCGAATGATTTGACAAAAAATGGCACACTATTTCAGCTTTACCGTTGTTTAATATTTTTTATAGAAGAAAACCTATCAAATTATATATTATAGAGTGTACTCAAGAACTACATGACCTGATTTCTCCTTCACCCTTTCGGTATCGGACGACCAGATGGGGCGAGAACCTCTACCCTTACGTCGTACCATTTATACGCACGGAATAGTTTGCATCTTTCTTCATTATACACACGGCCAAAGTGTGAAACTCTCTACCTGTTAATGTTTTTCCATCTAAATATAATCTGCACCAATTTAAGGCAAATGCGAATAGACTATTCATGGGCCCGCGGGTCCCATTTTAGACCACATCATCGCTTTCCATCAGGTGAGATTGTGATCCATCGCGAGATCCTTTCAATAATAAAAAAAAGTATCATATACTTAGTTTACCAATTTTCAATTAATTGATTAACTCAAATATCATAAAGTCTTTTATACAAGGGAAAAACGAAATTAATAGAATCCATTTAAGAAAATATTCTATAAATGATAATAAACATTTTTCCCAAATAAAAAAGGCATAGGTCCAAAAACGACAATAGTTAAGAGGCTAACTTAACAATTAGACGCAACGTACAAGTATGAGAGGATCAAAATTTAGAATGGCATTTCTAAATTTTTTGTCATTTTTCAATCCTTGTTTCTTCAGAAAAAATATTTAGCATTCTCTAAAATGGCCTCAACTTGACAGTATGTAATATAATTCCGAATTTTATAGTAAAGATAGAATTAAACAAATGTATGATATCCACATTATAATATAAATATAATGTTAAAACATAATATAAACATGTAATTTTATTTACATCATATT